TCTGTCTGACATGCCTGCCTCCGCGACCCGAAAGGAGAAGCGGCGATGGAAGATGAAGATGTAAATTAGAAAATGATGGTATTGAAACCATGTTAACCAAGATTTTAAACATCACAAGCCCGCCAATATCACATTAGGCCTTAGTCAGCTGCTCAGTCGCCTTTCAACAAATTAAGAACAAAACTAACCTTTTGATAAATGGAGCTTCACGTCCAATTCTTTTACATAACTTGCTCAATGCAGAAGTTCCTAAAAAGGAACCTCGAATCAAGGAATAACTAACCATCATGATCTATGCCAGCTGTATTACAAACATAGTTGATGGGATTACAGTAGACATACGTGCTTTCAGGTAAATATATCCGTTCTCATAGATTGAAATCAGAATAATACTAAATCTGTCTTGGGTACTGAAACATGACTTCATTACCGTCAAGAGGCTCGAAAAGTGAACAGGAAAGGCAAAATATTAGATTTATACAGCAAATGTTTGATAACCGTTTCTATGGACAGTTGTGAGCGACTGTTGCAAGGAAAACGATTTTTTAATGTCCTCTGGGCATTAAATTTGAAGCGATGATCACTGCGCACGGCACTGCTTAACCGATTAAATATATCTGTACTTCGCGATTCTTTGGACAACATTTAATTTTGTTTACCAACTAAGCAGCCTAGCCTTGACGTATGGTAATAATTACTGTTAAATTATTTATTCTCCTCTTCCATTTGTATGCTGACAACATGGCCAAACATAGTTAAGTTTATAATGAACAAAATGCAATTTGTGCATTAAATTTCCTAAGTGTATATCATCAGTTCATTTCAATGCATTAACTATGCAAAAAGCACTGTCCACGAGTCCATCAACTGTCAGAAACTAAATTTAAAGAAACTTCAAAATGCACCATGTACATTGACTCACCAGCTCAGTGAGTCAAGACCACCAATAAATCATTCATTAGATGAGCATTCAGCAAAGCTGTTGCTTTGAAAACCAAGCAGACATAAAACTTGTCTGCCATTTTTCAGTATTCAATCAAATTGGAGAGTGAAGCAAGGTAATAAATTTTTAGGCGTTGATATCATAAATAAAGCTTTTGTCACCATCATCAACATTATCTTCCATCGACGCTTCTCCTTTCGGGTCGCGGAGGCAGAAACATCAGACAGAGCTTGCAACGTTTCCGATCCCGTACCAGAGTCTAAACTTCGGCAAAAGAAAAATGGAGTCTCGAAAAAACTCCTTTCACATGTTTACAACAGGTTAATCTTGGCCGTCCCCTGGGCCTTCTGCCCGTCGGACTTGCAAGGAACAGTTGCTTGACCTTCCTTTCTGCAGGCATTCGCAACACATACCCGAGCCATCGCAGCTGTAACTTCTCAATCTGGACGAGCAAAGGCTGTGTACCAAGGCTCTTCCGGATGTCACTATTCCGCACCATGTCGAAACGCGTAAGGAGAGCGACTCGTCTAAGAAAGCCCATTTCAGCAGCTTGCACCCGGGTCCGAAATTTTTCAGTGATGGTCCACGATTCATTACCCTAGGTAAGTATGGGGATAAAGATCGACTTGAATATCGAGAGTTTGGTATTCAGACTGAGCTCTGCCTTAGTAAAAGTGGATCGGGCTAGTTCACGCAGAACGACACTGTATACTTAAATTCGCCGATAGATTTCTTCCTCCAAATTTTAATCACCAGCAAACACAGCTCCGAGGCACTTGAACTTCTCCAACTGCTCCGTTGCCTCTGCGTTACTCTGAAGAGAGCAAGAGGCAGGAGAACGAGGAAGCACTCGGCTTTTCGTTTTAGATGCGTTCACACGCATGCCGGTCACGTCGCACCTGGCTGCGAACTTTTTTAAGGAGAACATAAAATCAGTTTCAGAAGATGCTAATGAAACAAGGTCGTCTGCAAACAGCAACCTTCTCGACTTCACATCGCCTACACCGATACCGCCGTCGTCTTGGGAGCTCCTGACTATTCTATCCATGTACAACACAATCAGAATAGGGGACAGGACGCAGCTCTGGCGGAGACTACTGCGAACGTTGAATGGTTTCGACATAACGCCATTAACTCTGACGCAGCACTTCCTATCACAATGCGGTGATTGGATTGCCCTTAGCTGCGGGCCATCAATCCCGCATGCACGAAGGCATGTCCGGAGACTCTGGCGTGGGATCTCATGATACGCTTTCTCCAGGTACGGCTTTGCGTACTCCCGCGATTTCTCAACAATATTGAGCATGGCAAATATATGGTCAGAGCTGTTTCGACCAGACCTGAAGCCACACTGATCTTTTTGGAACTTGCGATCAACGATTTCGCGGCAGCTCCTTTCTAACGTTCTTGCATAGGCTTTACCTGGAAGGCTTAATAACGTTATGCCCCTATAATTCGAGCATTCCTTGTGGTCCCCCTTCTTGAATACAGGTACAATAGCTCCCGTTTTCAAGTCGGCTGTTGTGTTTGGCGCAGTCATCGCAGTTTGGCAGACACGTGTTGGCCAGCACATGCCTTGTTCGCCTAATGCCTTGAGCATCTCAAGGCGGATTTGGTCAATTCCGGCAGGTTTTCAATTTTTCAAGCTTTTTACAGCCTGTGCAAATTCGTCTACAGAGATAGTAATATCCGTACCCTTCTGCTCTACAGGCGAGTCTTCCTGCTGTTGCGCGGGG